CAATCGCAGAAATGACCCATTTGTCTTGGATTAGAGCCCTCCATGTGGCCACAAAATTCAAAAGCCCCCCCCCCCCCCCACCCAAACAAGTGGGGGAGCCCCTTCATAAGGAGGCGGACTGTGGATCTGTCTTAGACGACTTTTGCACCCAGGGCCTCCTTGGGTTTTGATTCTGAGATCTACCTCTGCAGGCTGGGACCTGTGTGTGGTGAAATGATTACCTGGTAGATGAGGGGCCCAGCAACTGAAGCCCCTGACACCTTAAAAGAAGAGTGTTTGGGTCTCCTCTAAGAGGGTAGAAGAAATATTTTGGATATATTTGTCCAAATCTTCCCCAAACAACTGTTCCCCATGTAAGGGAAAACCTGCCAACAATTTTATACATGGCAGTTCTGCCGACCAAAAGGGGGGCCAAGTGAGACATTTTGCTGAACTGAATCCTTAAGAGCATCAACCGCAAAACACAAAAGCATGCACAACATCCTCCAAATCCTCAGCCGTGCCTTCCCCCTGCACTGATGGTCTTCCAATCTGCTGCTTGACACAGAGACTCTGGCAAATGCCAATAGCTGCCACAGCTGGCTGTGTGGCAGAACCTGCCAGGGAGAAAGAGGCCTTAAGGAGAGACTCGAGCTTCTTATCCGCTGGATCCTTGAAAACCTGCACATTATCCACAGGATATGTTAAAGATTTATTCAAGGATGAAATAGCTGCATCCACTACAGGCAACCCCCATTTCTTAAACTTTTGTTCCATGGGGTACAAGAAAGAATACCTCTTTGGTAGAACAAAAACCCTGTCTGGGTGATCCTAGTCGGCATACATAATTTGCTCCAGAAGAGGATGCACCGAAAAGGCCTGAGTGTTCTGTGGATGCTTCAAAGAGCCTAGGGAAAACTAACTAACCTCAGAGGTTTCTATCAGAGGTAGCCTGAATCCAGACAGTACCATATCAGCGAGGTCTTGGACTAAAGAATCTCTGAGACTGGGAGGTAGAGACCACCTGCTTCTCCTCAGGCTGTGACTCCTCAGACAGAAATTCTACTGCCTGACATTTCTCCAGCTCTTCCTCATCCTCCACCCATTGGTGGTTCAAGTGATGGGGATCGAACCCAATTCTTAGTCCCCTGAGAAACCAATACAATCATCCCAGCAATCTTATCTTCTAAACCTGCTAAGGCTGAAGCAAGGTCATCCTTGGTTGCATATGCTAAGGCAGAAGCCCCAGTAGCAGCCACAACGCCAGATAGACACAGCAGAGTCAAAATATTCATAGATGACTGGGATGTCTAAAAGCAGTACAAAGAGTGGGCAACGGAGCAAAAGTCAGCAAGCCCACAAACAAAACAAACACGGGTATAAAACTAACTAGACAGCTGCTTGTAGCACCTTACAGCTGAAGCCAGCATCATCAGAAGCTTGAACATTAATCTGATAAATCTTAGCAAACATGTGAACAGAGGACCACGTGGTAACCATACAAATCTACAAAAGAGAAGCTTGATGCTGAAAGGCCCCAGGAAACTCCCATAGACCTTGTGGAGTAGGTCTTACCAGGAAAAGGAGGAACCATATCCTGTAGGGAATAGGCTTGAACACGAGAAGCAGGATTGTCCCCTGTGAGAGTCTTCAGGAAGATTAAAAAGAGAATCTGAAAATCTAAGGAAGGCTGTAGCTGGCAGGTAAACTTTTACAGCACGAACCCCCTCCAAGCAGTGAAGAGAAACTTCTCAGGAGTGGTTAGGAGCAAAACAGAAAGATGACAGGATGACATTATGGTTAGGGATAAAGAGGAGACCACCCTGGGCTGCAAGAAATCCTCAGGTCCCTTGTGCAACACCAAAAAAGGCCATCAACGATAATTGCCGGTGGAAGTGATGGAGAAACGAAAAAGGCACCTTGCAAGTAAGCTTACGAGCTTAGCTAAGGGAATATCCCAGATAGGTTCAAAGTGATGCATTTGAAAATCCATCAATACACGCCTGTGTGCATTTTGGTCAGCACTGACCGTACTGTCAGCCAGATCTCATCTCGTCCACACCAACTGCTCACAAATGGAGAAAACTTCCACAAAAGCAGTTACATCCCTCCGAACATAGGATTGAAGAGGAGCCGCAATAATCTGGCTGACAGTTCATTCAGTGCTGACCAAAGAGCACACAGGCGTGTATTGATCTCGTACTAATGAGATCAGTGCTTCTGGTAAGAAGCTAATTATTTGTTTGGTGGTGGAAGCACAATGGTTCACTTCTAAGTTTGTTCCATGATCACCTCTGGATTGCATATGGACTGAGCACGTTTTTTTATTCAACTTTATTGGATTTCACCCATAATACCTGGTTTTTGGGATTTACATACTTCTTTTCAATAATTTGTTGTTTAATTAATGTGATAGTGAGTTGTGCACCAGGTGAATAGCATGCTAGAAGATGATAGCCAAGGACATAATCTGTTCCTTTAGGGTCCTCATGCAAAGTAAGCCTTCCAGATGCAATGGTGTACTTTGCGAGAAATCAACTTCCTTGCATGGTAAAGTGTCCGGATAACCGAATACAGTAAGCCTTTGTCCCTCTCGAACTGGGCTTCAACAGCCAGGCCATCAAAGCCAGTGACTGAGAAGCAGGATGGTAGATCAGGCCTTGAGTAAGAAAGTCTATGAAATCTAAAAAGAGGCCAAAAGGAGTCCACCAGAAGGTGGAGTACGTCCAAGTACCAAACTCTCCAGGGCTATTTTGGTACCACAAGAATCACAGAAATTCCCACTGACTTGATCTTATGGAGCACTCATGAAAGGAACTTTAGTGGAGGAAAGCATAGATCAGGAGAAAATGAGCGTCCACTGAGAAAGCTCAAGGGTCTCTGGACCTGGTGACAAACCTGTTCAATTTGTTGCTGAACTAACAGGTGCACATCTGGTGTCCCTCACCAGTGAGAAAGGTCAGAAAAAAACATCTGAGTGAAGGGATCACTCTCCTTGATCTAGACGCTGATGGCTGAGGAAGTTGGCCTGTCAATTTTCCACTGCTGGAATGTGTACTGCAGTCAGGGCCAGAATGTGGCACTCTGCCAAGATCCTATCCACTTCCTTTCAGGCTGCCCAACTTCTTGTGCCTCCTTAATGGTTTATGTAGGCAATCGCTGTGGCATTGTCTGATTGACCCATGACAGATGTCCCCAAAGCTGAGACATCCAATGTTGGAAGTGATAGTCGAATTGCTCTGAGCTCCAAAATGCTTATTGAAGTTTGGATTCCACCTCCAACCAGGTTCCCACAATTGTCAACATTCTCATTCTCCCAAGTCATTGGGAGAAACAACTTCCTCAACTCCAACACTAGATTGGAAATCTGCTAAGTTAGGGAGAGTCTGCTTGTCAAAAGCAGACAGGATGTTGAGTTTCAGCAGCCTGGAGTGGAATTGGGCATAAAGGTACAACATTGAATGACTAATAGACCCAGTACCCTCATGCAAAACAGTACTGAGGGTTGCTGCCTGGATATGAGTAACTGAGTTTCAGCATGCAGGGTCCGATCTTTTCCAAGGGAAAAAAGACCCAGACCTGGGACGTGTTCAGGATCAGTCCCAAATATTCCAGACTGTAAAGATGGATCAAGCACAGACTTCTTCTGAGACATGATCCACCCAAAACTCTGCAGAGTCTGCACAGTCCATTGCATGTTGGTTTTCAAAGCCTGGATAGAATGATCCTTCATTAGCAGGTCACCATGCTATTCTACATTGTAAAACCCTGAGAAAGAAGAGCCAGAACAGGGGCCAGGACTTTTGTGAGAACCTGAAGAGAAGTGGATAGATCAATCTGAAAGTAGCAACATGTAACCCAGTTGTCTAACAATGTGCCTGTGTCCTGTACTTTATGATCAAGAAAAAAGATTTACAAAAAAAATAGAGTGAGACAGAGTGAGAGAGCAAGAGAAAGAGAGAGAATGATGATGTCCAAAATAATGTGAAATAGAAGCAAGACATGTGAAAGTAAATTTGTTGGGCATGTCTTCACAGCTATATAGAATTCCAATACACAAAAAAATCTTCCACACTTTTAGGTCTCCATCACACGGGGGATTATATGCAGACATCAAATTATATAGATATGAAGCAGTAGATTCTTGCAGTTGGGATCACAGTTGTATGCCAGCTGCGTCCAGCTAGCCTATACAAAGAAATGACAGGCTAAGAGGACTCGTTGCTATTCACTTGTCTGCATACCCAGCAGTCACCTGTGGATAGAGATGGATGTCTGTCTCTGGATGCATCTGTCTGGGTCCAGGGTTACTCATCTGTCCCTAACCGTTGGTGACTGCTATTTGTTACAGGCTGAATGGCAGCAATTGTTTGCATACACTTGTGATCCAAGCCAAATTAATGCACTGGTTCTTACTGCAGGAATCTGTTGCATTCACATAATCACCCATGTGAAGGAGGCCTTACTGCGATAGACAGTTCAGATAAAAAACTGTTTAATTAGTAACAATAAACTTGATCACCAGCTACTTTCCACTCAAACATGCTATTGGACCTTGTATACTATGATTGCATTTTGTCTATGCCTGGTATATCATAAGAGGAACGTAGGGTGTGTCAAGTGCTGGGGTATGGTTTCCAACATCCATAAGAAATGTTTAAAATCTTGAACATTATAGAACAAGTCTAGCTGAATGGGACTAACTGCGAACCCTCACAGATATGGTCTGTCATAGGATCCTACCTAAACTGACTGGATTGTATGACAAGTCATACTTGTGTTTACATTGGTCCTATATTTAGTCTTTCTGCTTGAGCGCATACTTACACACACACACACACACACTGATACAACTTCTCTAAAGATACAATACAGTTGATATGATATATACAATATATCATTTCTTGCAATCAATTTTATTTAATTTCAATTTTATCCATAGTTAAATAAAAGAGGCTTACAATAAAAAAGCAGCTGGTATTAGGCAATGTTCCTTTATATTTTAATCACTTCTCTTCCTTTCACAGTGGAATCATATTCTTTGTCCTTTCCTTAGAAACAGATGGTATAATTCCTATTGGAGATGTAATCAAATGGACAGTATTTTTCCCATATAACTGCAGTTCATAGCCAATAAGCTGGCCCCAGAAACCAATATTGGGCTCAATAAAAGGTCTACATTTCTTTAGGTGGGTATGCGCTTCCAGCAAGGTCATTGCACGATGCTTCATTAGATAAGCAAGGCAGAGTGTAGCAGATCTGCTGATACCAGCTACACAATGTACTAATGTGCATCCTCCATTTGCTTCCATTTCATGGATCTTATCTGCTACAGTTGCAAAGTAATCATGTAACGGGGTCTCCGGCATATCTTCTATAGGTACGTGCAAATACTCTGGGACAGGAGGATAACCTTCAGGACCTTCTAAGGACACATTGATTACACAAGTGATCCGATGTGCATGTAAAAGTGTACTGTTGTAGGCTGCTTCTTTGTTACTGATGTACAAGCTCTCTGTTACCTTGCTAAATCTGGGAGGAGTTCTTGATCTTCTTTTACTTATTGTAGTATTCATTATAAAGAGCAAAATCTCTTCTTTTTAGCTGCGAAAAAAGACCAAAATGTAAGTATTAGGGCAACAAACTGTTTTTTTCCAAGAGCATTTACACCTCATTATTGGTGTCCTAGGTTGATGTGGAGTCCTAGTGACAAATAGCAAGGTATACAAACCCCGTAATGTGATGTTTTTCTAGAGTATAGATTTGCATAACAACAGTCCCCAAGTTTAGAGGCTCTCAGGGCCTTTCATCAGCTGTCAGAAGGTGCATACATCTAGAGGGGCCTGCTTTCAAACCATGGCATTTTAATACATTAAGGCTTCGTTCACACTGCCCTGGAAGCTGCCACACATGAAACCGCAGTGGTTTAGTGTGTGGCAGCTGTCCACTCTGGCTGCAGTGAGCTGGCTGTAGGGGGCAGTGTGTAGCGCATTTCAGTGCATCACACAGTTCCCTTTATATGAAGTGTACAAAGTGACACTTCATTTACATTACTGTACAGCAGCATGGTGTGTTGAGCTGCTATACAGTGATAGATGATCCTGTCCTGTATGCTGGGCTCTATCTATCTTCCCAAATCTGACCAGTTTCTGACCCACAACATGATGCTGCCACCACGTTTCACGGTGGGGGATGGTGTTTTCAGGGTAATTTGCAGTGTTAGCGTTTTGCTTTTAGGCCAAAACGTTCAGTTTTGATGTCATCTGACCAGAGCACCTTCTTCCACATGTGTGCTGTGTCCCCCACATGGCTTCTCGCAAACTGAAAATCGGACTTCTTATGGCTTTCTTTCAGTAATAGATTTCTTCTTGCCACTCTTCCATAAAGGCCAGATTTGTGGAGTGCACGACTAATCGTTGTCCTGTGGACAGATTCTTCCACCTGAGCTGTGGATCTCTGCAGCTCCTCCAGAGTTACCATGGACCTCTTGGCTGTTTCTCTGATTAATGCTCTCCTTACCAGACTGTCAGTTTAGGTGGACGATGTCTTGGTAGGTTTGCAGTTGTGTCATACTCTATTTACGGATGATGGATTAAACAGTGCTCCGTGAGACATTCAAAGCTTGGGATTTTTTTTTTTTATAACCTAACCCTACATTAAACTTCTGCACGTTATCCCTGACCTGTCTGGTGTGTTCCTTGGCCTTCATGATGCTGTTTGTTCACTAATGTTCTCCAACAAACCTCTGAGGGCTTCACAGCTATATTTATACTGAGATTAAGTTACACACAGGTGGACTCTATTTGCTAATTAGGTGACTTCTGAAGGCAGTTGGTTCCACTAGATTTTAGTTAGGGGTATCAGAGTAAAAGGGGCTGAATAAAAATGCACACTACGCTTTTCAGATATTTGTAATACATTTTGAAAACCATTTATCATTTTCCTTCCAATTCATAATTATGTGCCACTTTGTGTTGGTCTATCACATAAAATCCCAATAAAATCTATTTACGCTTTTGGCTGTAATATGACAAAATGTGGAAAATTTCAAGGGGTATAAATACTTTTTCACAGCACTGTATTATATCACACAGATGTCATCACAATGCCAACTCTATATTTTCATATTATCTATCTGCCTGTGTGTTTACTCACTCAAATAGTTCTTGTCTTTCTACAATCAGTGTCTACCAAGCCAGAAGAGGAACCAAAGGTCTCGTTCTGTAACACAAAAAGGACAGATTTCAGGATTTTGTACAGGTTTGTAAAAACAAATCCTAATTTTCTATTTAATCTGGAAAATTTTGTGAACATCCAAGAATAGGTAATGTTATCAGCATGTGCCAAATCCCAATGCCAGTGTCTGAGTGTCCTGCAGCAGCATCCCCCTGTGAATTCAGGGCAGCTTGATGATGTGCACTCTCAGAAGGCTCGTAGTCTTGTCCATGACACCCTGGGCTCACAGAAAGTGGGATGAATGATATTCGGAACCATTTAAAAGAGGAACTTCACCCTGGGTGTGGGAAAATTAAAAGCCAGCAGCTACAAATACTGTAGCTGCTGACTTGTAAAAAACAGATACTTACCAGACCATGTAATTTAGAGGATGGGGGGAGGAAACCAGTCACAAAACCCCTAATTTTTGGGTGAAGGCGCACTTTAAACCAGAAGAGGACAGGTGCTGGGTTGCAGAGTGGTGATTCCGGGGGGACAAAGAAAAAAAAAAAAAAAAAAAGAAAAGAAAAGAAAAGGGCTTTGACTGTTTTGGTTCTTTTTACATCTCTATTCTTAAAATACATATAACTTGGATGGTATCATATGGTATAAAATGTTAAAATAACACAGTTTAAAGTGTATCAAAACCATAAAACAAAAGTCTAATACATTTCCACTTACCAATCAATGTGAGAGCTGCATTTTTACCCCCCATTTGTTTACACCTGTACTTTGGTGAATATCACACTTCTTGTCCTAGGGTGTCTAGGCACTCACTCCCCTGCACCTACTGAGAGAGCCATGGTTGTCACTAGGCTGCTCTCCTGATTTGGACTACAAAACATCGTCCTCTTTTCATCTTACATGGGGGGCAGGGGAATTGGTTGTGTGAAAGGAAGAGAAGATTTACACCAATTGCTTTTACACCCATAAAGGCTGTAAAAGCAATAATTTCTCCTTCTCTCTGGCTGCATTCCTGCAGACATTGAGAAATACTGTGTGAGCTGTGATTGGTCACAGCTTGTCACATGGTACGAGGCTGTTATGAATAGCCTTGTACCATGTGGCCTCTGATCATTCACAGACTTCAGTAGTACACAATGTCAGGAAGTGACATCCTGTTTACTACTATTCATGTGATCACTGATTGGCCAATCAGGGATCACATGAATCGGGACCTCACACAGAGGTCCCATACAGTGCTCTGTGTTCCACTGTGTCCACCCGCATCGGCAGCGCTCCCGTCCGGCTGTTTTTTGGCATGGCCCGGACAGGAAGAGGTTAACAAGTTAATGAACAGCTCTTTTTACAGTCTCAAAGTGGTAGTAAAGTCTGGGGAAAAAAAATCTGTTCCCCTGCAAGTTAATGTCATAATGTGTTAATATGCACTGCATACTAACACATTATGATGGACGTAACTTAAAGCTAAGCCCTCCAGCAGCCCGTTGTCATCACTGACAGGGCTTCCATCTTCACCTGGTCTTTTTCCAGGTTTGTGGGCTACGGCCATTTGAACGGCTGATCCACAATGAAGTCACTTCCACACTCTGAAGGAATCCCTGGCTGACAGCTGACGGAGCAATGCAGGGATGAGTCATTGGTTGATAGGACGCTGGCGGATGCCGGTCCCCTAATAACAAACTCCTAATTTACAGTACATTGGTTAACCACTTCCCGTCTGACCTATAGCAAAATACTGCTACAGGGCAGCATGGGTGCGCAAAATCACGTATATATACCTGATTTTGAATTTCCGGGTAGGGGGCACGCACTTGCCTGTGTCAGGTGATTTCCGATGGGGAGGAGAACCGTTTTGTTTACTAACAGTTCTCCTTCCTGTCAGCTCGGGCGCACTGCTTTGGATGACTGTGCACAGCACAGCCATCCAAAGCAGTGTGCTTACAGTGAAGCACACCGACACGGCCCCCTATGTAAAACACTTCCAACACACAGTTAACCCTTTGATTGCCCCTCATGTTAATCCCTTCCTGCCCGGTGCCATTAGTACAGTGCCTTTTATTAGCACTGATCACTGTACTGGTGTCACTGGGGATGTCAGTTCCCCCCAGTGTCAGAGTGCCTGCCGCAGTCCCGTTATAAGTCACGGATCGCCATTACTAGTTAAAAAAAAAAATTCCAGTATATACCGCCATTTGTAAATGCTAAAACCAGTTAATTTAGACGTATTGGGATTTTTTATTTTTAAGCAAAGACATGTATCAGAATACATTTTGGCCTAAAATTATGACGAAATTTGATTTTTTACTTATGTTTTACTGGACATGTTTAATAGCAAAATGTCAAAAATATTTTTTTTCTCAAAATTGTTGTTCTTTTTTTTTTTATAGCGCAAAAAAAACAAAACAAAAAAAAACAAAAAAACGCACAAGCCAGCCAATCAAATACCACCGAAAGAAAGCTCAATTCATGGGGGAAAAAAAGGACATAAATTAAATTTGAGTGCAGCGTTGCATGACTGTGCAACTGTCAGTTAAAGTAACGCAGCGCCGTAATGCAAAAAATGGCCTGGTCAGGAAGGGGGGTAAATCCTCAGGAGGATGAATAAGGGAGAGATCTCAGCGCACTAATGGTTAATGTCCAGTGTTATATGTCCATAAGTCCCAATAAAGTCAATGGCTAGTAACCACTTCAGACAGCAGCCATCCCAGAGTAAGCCAGCTCTGTATGCAAAAAGAAAAAGGAGAGGCGCCTCTCTTCTCCTTTTTGCAGTCCTCAGGAGGGCAAGTGGTTAAATGTGGCTAGACCACAAGAAATGTGAATTGACATTTATAGAAATTTCGTATGACATTTACCATGCGGTTTTTTTAATTTTTTTTCTGTAACTACTACATAAATAGATAATGAACTGACATTTTTATTATTGCATGCGATATTTTGATAAAATGAGTCACAGGATCCAAATATCGCAGGCAATATTGCTTTGTAAATTGAGCCCTGCATTGAATAACCTCTGTCAGTCAATTTACTCTGCATCTCAAACAGCCTTTTTTGTCTCGCTGACTGTTCACTCACTATGTGATTCACACTCGTCATTTGGCTTCTAGGGACCGACTTAAACACAGAAGAAGGGTGACAGCTAGCATGTAACCGTAACTGGTTGTGTCAGTTGGCTTTGTATACAAATCAATCTCTTTTCAAATTGTGACAGCGGGTGCGGGGTTGGTGGGGGGCTGCAGGAGTGGAAAGATGTTACATGTTCCGTCCAAAAAAACAGGTGGAACATGTAACATGTTCACAAAGGTGAACCTATCCTTTCATAGCCTAGTAATCTAGCTTTCATTAATTCATTTCTTACTGTGTTTTTTCTGCCTCCTTATAACATCCTTTGTGAGCTACTGAA